ACAGCAATGGCAAAACTTTTCCCCACATGTGGCATACTGTCTGTTTTGACAAAAACAAGACACCAAAGCACTAAGAACCAAATTCCATGCAACAAAAAAGCACAGGATGAGTTATATATGGTGTCACTCTGGCGTTAAGCTGGTTCTTGGAGCCAGAATGACTACATTGGTGGAAAAGTCAGGTCAGGTCAGGTCACATCTGGGTAGGGTCAGACCGTCAGCCTGTCTCCTGACATCTCCATATGCACCTTACAGCCCATAAAGATGATTTATCTGTTATAAATTGAAAACCTTCCTTATTGGTCCTCGTACAGAAACGTCAAGGCTGTGTTTGAGCGTCTTATTAAAAGTTGATGACTGATATACTCAGACTGTTATTAACAAACAATTCCACCATTCTGCTCCTTCAATAGTTGTATGTGTAAATGACACCGGCACATTCACTGGCTGCCTGGCTTTGTTCTGTCTGAGGCACATTTACAACTGAACTGATGCAAAAAGAATCAGGCTGTGGAGCCAAGTGTGCAGAGTTGTATTTAGTGCAGGCAGTCGGGGCAGCCGTAGAAATAGAAAATCGAGTCTTTGATCTCCAGGCAACTGCAGCGTCCAAGTTGTTGAGAAACAGCACCAGTCTGGACGTCTGCACTTTTTAAGCTTTCACTGGCGAAGCTACAGCTGCATTTTTGTCTGTGTTTTTTATTCAGCAGTGCTACATCTCTATCTCTCTCTCTCTCTCTCTCCGTGGATGTTTGCCTTCTCTTGATATTTGGACCTTTAGTTTTTACAGGTGTGGAGAGCAGTAGGGCTGCTTCTGATTCAACAGTGACTCGACCTTAACCTGCTGTGCCTTCCATATTTATTTAAACTTTTAGCCTTTAGCCAAACAGTGGTGTCTTTTCCTCTCGGTTTAAAGTTTAGTCTGTGTTCAGGCCACTGGCACCGTCTACAAAAACAACCTAGACAATGTTTTTCCTTGGTCAACGGGAAGTGGTATTTAAATTGACCATCAATACGATATAATTATAGTTTGAGTTTAAATTAAATTAAACACCTATCCCTGTTTGAACCCATGAGCTCTACACACCGTAACAGCCAATGAGCTGTGGGAAATCTGTAGATAAGAAACAAGATTTGTTATCTGGCTCTACAGTTTGCCAGCTCTCAGAGTGGTCCAGTACAGTAACAGGCTCCATTCACTTTGAAAATATAAATGGATTCTTTAGAATAGATAAGCTAAAGTCAAACTAATGTTTTCACTACTCACCAAGACCGTGAGGAGGGCATTAGCTTACCTCGGTGCAAGACTGAACAGGTAGTGTTCACAGTAGTAAAACTGTTACAAATGTCAGACTACACAGTGGGGACTTATCAGCCGTCACAACAAATCAAGTCGAAGTAGAAGATTAGAGCAGAGACGGCACCGTCATTGCCTGTATTTTTTTTGGACTTGTAGCAATTTCATGGGTTAAGGCGTCCTGTGACCCCGATCTAAACTAAACCATTAATACTAACATGCTAGGACACATTTGACCAGACTCAGACCAGGACTCCAGCGCTGTCCTGTTTATACCCATTTTAGTTCAAACTCCTCTTTAACCACAAATCTTTCAGCAAGTCCCGTCTCTTGACAACACTTGCTCTCTCACACCTCCCCCACCAACTGTGTGAGCATGAGAAAGTAGCCGTGTTCAGACTGCAGGCTGTAGTTGCACAGTGGTCATCATATGAAACCGCTGCATGG